AAAAGTGTCATTTATTATGTACTCTGGGAGCGAGTTAAAATAATTTCATATAATTACTCTAGTTTGATATAAATTAGGCATATATAGGGTTATCGACCTAGCATTGTGTCAATCTAATCGTATAAAAATTCTTATATTAACACAACTTCGGAATCTTACACGACTCCGACAGAATCACATCCCTCAAAATTTTATGAAATCTAGAAATTCTTCTTCAAAGTTGTACAAAACGAAAACATACTAGACAATATAAATAATGGAATAAGATATAATTATGTTACTTTATATGAGACATTATATTCATTATAAAGAAATGAAGACAGACTGAGTGGTCATTCAATAGTTTAACCAGATAATCTATTCTGTTACATTCTTGAATTAATCATTTAATAAAATTGGCTATATTTTTAGCAAACTTAATACAATTCCGAATGCAACTATAATTTTCATTAATATTTCTATTTTCGATTGTCACTAAGCGAGTTCCTATACGAGTTCCTCCGCGCGCGAATAATTTGAGAATTACTGACCTAGAGCCAACAGATAATTCTCTACAAAGAAAGAAAAGAAGACAACGCGTGTAGCTTGCAGATGGTCAAAGAGAGTTAAGCTTAATAAAGACAACAATTAAAAGCAGAATACATGAAAATGAATTGCAATGTGCAGCCAAGAAATTTGCTCGCCGAACGGCGAACGCTAACACGACGACCAAAAATACTACAAAGCAGCGTGCCATCTTGTTGACAAATAAATTTCTAAAAGTAGGAAACGCTGGGCATCTCCTAGGTCGACGAGAGCAGCGAAAGTGAGTACAAAGTACGCGGATAATAGATGACAACGAAGGCGTCAACTGTAACATTGTGGTCGATAAATAAATGCAAAGCAACAAAAACGACTTAAGTCTGTATTGTGGAGATAGCGCGACTGCAAATAACACGCAATGCGATGATGGATTTTGCATAACTAAATAAATCGAAAAAGAAAATGACGGTAATATCGATCTGATGAATATATTAAAAGTGTAAAAAATTCCCTCGAATGATAAAGATAATAAAAAGGTAATTGTGAATGTGTTCTTTGACTTGATTCAACTTCGATTTTGTTTTCAGAAAAATTAAACATCTTTTTCAAAACATTTTAACATTTTTGATATTAAGCATTAAAGCACGCAAGTTTTCAATTGATTCAATTAAAATATTAAAATTGAGTCCACTTAAAAATACAACGATGAACAGTATAACAATTATAGAAAGCTCAACTCCGAACAATCTTTCACTTTTATCCATTTTAAGATTACTAATGCCTCTACAATTTTGCGGAAGAAAAATCGAAAAAATGCAAAAAGAAAAAAGCGCCACGACGGAGTTCGCTCGCAGAAGCGTTAGTTCGCATAATGGATGTCCACAAGGACGGGAAGGAGAACGAGGGGGAAACGACACGGAGCACGACTACCACGAGAGAGGAGGCGACATCAGGGAGCGATAAGGGAGCCGGGCAGAAACCGGGAT